TATTTAATTTTAATTAATTTTATATTTATATCTAATAAGAATTTTAAAGTGAAGCATTTGTCATTTTCATTTAATTTAACTTGACGTACTAAAATAGCAAACTAATACTGAAATAAAAATGTGTAAAAGCTGTATAGGCATATAAAAAAACAAAAACGAATACAAATGACAAAAACAACAAAATTACCTTTAACTAAAATGAAAATGGAATATCAAAAATATAAATGAAAATAAAAAACGAATTAAAACTATTAATAAAAACTATAGTAGTATCTCAATTACACTAAAATGATACTGGTTCATATTGATTATATATACACTCTAAAAAAATGCTGGGTTGTTTCAACCCAACTTTGGGTCAAATATGGACTAACCCAACTTTTGGGTTAAAAATTGTATTTAAAAATGTAACCCAACAGCTGGGTTAGTCCATATTTGACCCAAAGTTGGGTTGAAACAACCCAGCATTTTTTAGAGTGTAGATATATATGACCATATATATAGGTTTTTGACTATAAACAATTCTAAAGAATTGTTTGAGACGTTGATATCTCTTGTGAAACTCTGGAGGAGACACACCTGAGATTACTCTGATCTTTTCTCGTGAGAAACATCTCAGAAGCAGGAGTTATTAGCAAAAAATGCATTAAATGTATTATAATGCAAGTATTATATATGCAAGTAGTAAATGTATTATAAATACAGTATTACTAAATATTAATAATTAAATGTTATTTTCAGAAACCCTAAAGAGTTCTTTTGTCAAATTAAACAATCCATTTCAAATATTAAAACATTGAATAATGTAAAAAAAAAAAGAAGTGTAAAATGTACAAAAGCTGCATTTTTAATTTGTAAAAATTGTTTTAAGTGCAAAATGTACAAAAAAAATTAAATTTTTAAATGTAAATCATTTTAAAAGTGTAAAATGTACAGAAAATATGCAATATTTAATAATGACCGTGTTATTAAAATGTCCATATTTTTCATATTTAAATGGTATCTTTACACTGTTATTAAACTCTTATATTTGTGCATTTCCTAAAGTGACCATCAGTTTTCATTTCTCAGCAGCTGTATTGCATTTGACACACCGATCACAGGGAGATTTAATTGCTGAAACACATGACGGCAGCTGTCATGGCTCATTATTTGTTTACAAAAATGCCATCGTGAGAGTTTGCATGTCCAGTTATAAAGCACCTTTTCACGGTTCATCATCAAGACTAAGACGTTTAATCAGGAATCTGTTCTCAACAGGTGGTGCGAGTCCGACCGCTGCAGCGGGAAGCCATCGCAGACGGCCGGGATACATGCGCTCAGAGCCGCTTAACCAGTCATGTGACTCTGAACGAGAACGTTCCAAAAATCCCGTTTCTGGCTCGCCTACTAATGAGAACACTCGAAAGAGCACTTCGAAATTACCCAGCAGCCCCAGTGAGCAATGGCTTAAGGATGTTTTCGAGAGAGACGACAGCCAGGATTCTTCCAAAACGCACTGTTTGCGTGACGGTGTTGCGGAGGAAAATTCCTCAATGCCATCACGCAACGTTTTTAATTCGAGCTTCAGTTTCATTCAGCAGTCGCTAGAAACTAGCGATCTATTAGATGCGAGCACAAACAAATCTGTGTGTAAACAGTCTGAATGGGACCGACTGAAGTGTGAAACGTCTGAAACGTCAAATTCGGGTGCTTTAAAACCTCACACTGCTTTAGTAAATCACTTGAGCCAATCAGAGATCAGCACTGTTCCAACTAGCCAATCAGAACATGAGGTTTTCTCATTAAGCAATTTGCCTTGCTCGATTGGTCAGTCGGTGCAACAGAAAGGGCTGTTATTGGACCGAGAGCTGTGGCTAATGGATCTAGACATACCCTGGCAACGGGACAGACAGATTTCGTCCTCCATGGCGTTTTATGCGAAAGAAAGCGTCCAGGACTCAGACTCTGGCTCTCTGGACACTGAAGTCACGTCCTCGCTCTCGATTGACTCGTCAGACTCGACCTCGGCCTCATCGGTCACGTCTGGCTATGACAGTGCAACCCCGTCCTCAGATCAGAGTCGGGACGGCCTGATAAAGAAGTACGAGGATGTTCTGCAAGACTGTCTGCAGAGCAATCGCACAAACACCAAGGTCAGTACGACACAACAATGTTTAATACTTTCATACTTGTTTATTACGTTTTTTTCCCATTACAAATATCTAAACATTCTTAAATCAAGAGAAATTTACTTGTGAAGTAAAAAGACTTCTAAACAAAACTAAATTAAGTTAATTAAATTAAGTCTGATCTGCCACTGGGGTAAGAAAATTAAACCTAATTTAAAGGGAAAACAATATAATTTATTTTAAATAATTTTTAACAACTTGATGCCTAAAGGTGTGCTTTTACTTAAACCCTGTTTAAGTAACTAACATATGAAACACAGTCAACATAGTCAAAAAAAATCTATTTTTTTTAAATGGAAAGATTTTATCAAACCAAAATCTAAAAAAAAAAAATGTGCATGTGTTTTTGTTTAGTATCATATTTGATACATCAGGCTTTAATGGCTCATATAGTCTGATATAGCGAGAATATGAAGGAAAAAAACAGCTCACTTTTATTCAGAGGTCCAAACTGAGCAAAAATATGAAATTTGGTGCAGATGCTGATATTTATATGATGAAATAAAAATGTGCATGTGTTTTTCTTTAGTATCATATTTGATACATCAGGCTTTAATGGCTCATATAGTCTGATATAGCGAGAATATGAAGGAAAAAAACAGCTCACTTTTATTCAGAGGTCCAAACTGAGCAAAAATATGAAATTTGGTGCAGATGCTGATATTTATATGATGAAATTCTGATAGCTTGTAATGTAAATCAATGAGATCTTTCTAACAGTACAGCAGATACTGATATAAAATGGTATAAATATCAGTCGTCACTCTATATCTCCAATAATATGTCTTAGATTTAAATGATTCAAACATATAATGCAATCCAATGATGATTGAGAGATGAACAAATAAACGCTCCTCAAAATCCTGATGATCAGATTTAAGACTCGCTGATTTTTATAAAATAATTCATGGAGAATCAAGTAAAGCCAAGCTGCTTCAGTCCAGTAAGTATTCATCTGGAAATATTACTAACAATATTAAAGTTATTCTTACATTTACTTCCTAAAAATCAGTAAAGATTTGACAGCAAAAAAACACGTGAAGCGCGAGCTGAAGGTGGACGTTATGCAATTATACTGAAATACTTGCTAAAAAAGTCTAAACTATCAATCAGATGACAGAAGGCATGCAGTAGATTGTGTGCGACAGGTTTTTCTGCAACATTTTGATCATGTTGATCATTGAGGCCTTAGAAATCTGCATAACAAATGTGAGCCTGGAGCACAAAAGCAGTCTTAAGTCGCTGGAGTATATTTGTAGCAATAGCCAACAATACATTTTATGGGTCAAAATTATAGATTTTTCTTTTATGCCAAAAATCATTAGGATATTAAGTAAAGATCATGTTCCATGAAGATATTTTGTAAATTTCCTACCGTAAATATATCAAAACTTAATTTTTGATTAGTAATATGCATTGCTAAGAACTTCATTTGGACAACTTTAAAGGCGATTTTCTCAATATATAGATTTTTTTGCACCCTCAGATTCCAGATTTTCAAATAGTTGTATCTCGACCAAATATTGTCCGATCCTAACAAACCATACATCAATGGAAAGCTTATTTATTCAGCTTTCATATGATGTATAAATCTCAATTTCAAAAAATTTTAAATTATGACTGGTTTTGTGGTCCAGGATCACATATATGATACAGTAGGCTTTATAAGGTCGATTTTCACTTGAAGTAATGTTTTTCACTCACAATCTTTGACATTTTTCTAATGTTTCACAATGTTTTACCCTCTTTAGATCAAGTCCATAATGATGAAGCTTCAGAGATTACAGCACAAAGCGGTTCTGGATGATGACTATGACACAGGTCAGATATTTTACATGCTCAGTGTTGGTTTGATCATTATTTGATGAAGCATGATGGTTTCTCTAGCTAATAGGACGTGCATATTAAGTGTAAATAATAAAACAGAATTGTTTTCTTATTCTAAAATATAAATTTATGCACTAAAAAAAAATACTATATAGCCATTGCTTCACATTTTAATCGTAAAGAATGATCATACTATATCGTATCTGTGAATTTCAGCCCAGTTTTATGTCCAAATATGTCCACAGACTGATGACAGAACACAAAGACGGTTTCATCACATTCATGTGGTGCAAACACACCCAAACACTCCCAGCTGATTGTCTGTACTCAGCGATAGTGACCTTAAACCCAGCCAAAAACATGAACTTGTAAAGCGGTTCTGGATGACGACTATGACACAGGTCAGATATTTTACATGCTCAGTGTTGATTTGATCATTATTTGATGAAGCATGATGGTTTCTCTAGCTAATAGGATGTGCATATTAAGTGTAAATACTAAAACAGAATTGATTTCTTATTCTAAAATATAATTAACGCACTAAAAAAAAATGCTTCTCATAAAGAATGATCTGTGAATATCAGCCCAGTTTTATGTCCAAATATGTCCACAGACTGATGACAGAACACAAAGACGGTTTCATCACATTCATGTGGTGCAAACACACCCAAACACTCCCAGCTGATTGTCTGTACTCAGCGATAGTGACCTTAAACCCAGCCAAAAACATGAACTTGTGATTGCTGACTTCATAGCATCAATATTCCCTTTCTACATCCCACGTGTTTGTTTGGCAGTAACACTCAATCCACCTCGTTTGACTCCGTGATGTTGAACATGTCTGTTCATACAGTTCCTGCATGTTTTCAGCTATTATATCTGGAAGGTTATCAGTCTAATTATCTTATTTCAGTGGTTTATTGTATGCATACTGTGCACTGAATTTATTCTGAGTAGGATCCCATTTGAAATGTGTATCTTTGCATTAGGATTATTATAGTTATCTAAAACCAAAACCATAAAAAAAAAAATGTTGTTACTTGAAATAGAAAAAACATTAGGTGAAATAAAATAAAATGTAAAAATGTTTTACTACTTCTCATTTCTCAAAATACTAAAATAACTTTAAATTAAATTAATTAATAGTATATAGACATATAAAAAAAAAAAACTAATACAAATGATAAAAACACACAACAAAATTACTAAAAAATGTAACTAAAATTAAAGAGAAAACAGAAAATATAAAAATAATAAAACCCAAAATATATCAAAATGTTTTCTATAAAACACAAAATGTCAAAAATATAAAAACGTTTATATTATATAATAAAATAACATTGCATGTGTTAATAGTATGCTTACTGATGCTTTTTCTGACTGAGCTCCCATTTGATCAAAAATATAAAGACGTTTATATTATATAATAAAATAACATTGCATGTGTGTTAATAGTATGCTTACTGATGCTTTTTCTGACTGAGCTCCCATTTGAAATGTATATCTTTGCATCAGGATTATTTTTTGTTATCTAAAACTAAAAACATGAATAAAAAATGTGTTCCTTGAAATAAAATAAACATCTGAAATAATATAATATATAAAAATGGAAATGTATTATTATTATTATTATTTTCAGATTTTCAGTTCCTAAGGCAATATTTCCCATTTCTCAAAATACTAAACTAACTAACTAACTAACTAACTAAATAAATAATAAATGAATAAACTTGAATAAATAAAAATGTATAAACATTATTTAGACTATTTTAAAACAAAAAAACAATACAAATGACCAAAAAACAACAAAATTACTAAAAACTTTAAAACTTGAAAGTGAAAACAGAAAATATCAAAATAATAAAACAGAAAATATCAAAATAATAAAACAGAAAATATCCAAATATTATTTTCTTGATAAATAAGACAGAAAATATTAACAAAGACTTTTGTAGTATATATTTAAATTACTTTGCCTGTGTGTCACATGCATCAAACAGTATTAGTGTAACTTTGAGATGGCTCTGAGATTCAGTGTTGAACAGCGCCATCTGCTGGTCATGAGCACAGTTATCATACAGGACCAGTGTGCTGTGTGTGGTGGATTTATTTTACTGTGTAGTTCCTTCATCCTTTGCTTCATTACTCGCACTGAGTTGCTGTACTCAAAAGCTTCCCTCTGTATCTTCAGTGTGTGTCTGGAGAAACGCCTTAAACTTCTCTATCAGATCAGATGATTGACCTACATTTGTCAGCTGGAAGTCTTTTTTCGCCCTTTTGAGCGTGACGAACCTTGTGACTTACAACTGGACTTTCCCCAGACCCTGATCTGTGTGTGTGTGTGTGTGTTTTGTTTTATATTGTCTGTCTTACACTCACAAACACACACTCAGATGTTTCAGAATGTGTTTTAAATAATGATAGATCAATATATCTCGATTTAAATGTGTCTGTTTTCGAGATTAAATAAGAGAATATGAACTTTCAACATGTTAACTGTATTAACACCAAGGTACCTCATGAATAACTTGTTTAACATTTAGTATTTTTGTCATGTTTTTGGATTGACTTTGACCTAAATTGAACTTAAACGGGTTTGTGTTTGGCTTGTGGTTTAGGCCATTAAAGTTGAAGTCTAAATTGTGTTTGTTTAGCTGAGCGTTTTGGTAAGAAACTAGAGGAACTGAGGAGAGAGCGAGCCACGCTCAAGCCTGGTTTGCCGTCCAGACATCCGGAGCTCACTGGATTTCTGGAGCGTCTCAGGACGGCCGTTCACAGCGTCATCCACAGGACAGACACACACTGCAGGTTTGAACACATTAAAAACTCACGAAAATATTCAGAAATATTATTTCAGTTTCAAATAAGTGTTTCTATGTGAATATATTTTAAAATGTAATTTATTTCTGTGATGTAAAGCTGAATTTTCAGCATCATTACTCCAGTCTTCCTTCAGAAATCATTCTAATATGCCGATTTGCTGCAAACATTTCTGATTATTATCAATGTTGAAAACAGTTGTGCAGCTTCATGTTTTTGTGGAAACAGTGATGCATTTTATTTTTCAGGATTCTTTGATGAACAGAAAGTTCAAAAGAATTTGAAATAGAATCTTTTGTAACATTACAAATGTCTTTACTGTCACTTTTGATCATTTTAATGCATCCTTACTGAATCAAAGTATTGATTTTTTTGGTGCTAACACACATCTTTATCGTATCTAAACAAAGTATTTCCTATATATCCATATGAATTGAATCTATTTTTCACCAGTGAATTGTGATTTCTCATTTCTAAATCTGACTTGATCTTCTCTAGTACTACAGTATGCGTCACTATATTGTATTTGAGGGCTGGTTAGTCAATAATAACCCGTTGAAACAGGAAAGCACACAGTGCTGCTGGAATGTGGCTAAACACGTGTGTTTATCATCGTACAGTATGTTTACGCATCATTCTGTTTTCATTTTAATTTT